TTTTCTCTATTCTTTATAACTTTTTTTTTTTTTTTTACTTTGAACTCCATGGTTTGCTGTGTAGCTGGGTAGCTGACCCCTGGAGTCCTCCTATCTTCCTTTTCTTGTTTCTTGATCTTCTCTTCCTAGATTTCTCCTTCTATTTATTCTCTCTGCCTGCCAGCCCCACCCATCCTTTCTCCTGCCTAGCTATGGGCCATTCAGCTCTTTATTAGACCAATCAGATGTTTTAGACAGCCAAAGTAATACAGCTTCACAGAGTTAAACAAATGCAACATAAAAGAATGCAACACATCTTTGCATCATTAAAATAAATGTTCCACAGCATAAACAAATGTAACACATCGCCAACTAATATTCTACAACATTTCTTCCTTTTTGTCAAAATAAAAATAAAAGATTTTAATTTTTAAATAGTAAAACTATATGTAACAAAAACAGTTATCAAGTAAGAATTTATTAACAATATTCAGTCCATTTGTATTTAGCAAATTTAGAGAAAATACTCCATTATCTCTCTTTTCTTGGTGATTCCAAAGTTTTATATCTAATTTACTTTCTACCATAGCTAAGGAAAACTGTAAGTCAACTATTTTATTTTTAACTCCATCAAAGACCATAGAAGGATGTAATATACCTAACAACAGAGACATCTGGCTGTCTGGACAGTCACCCAAAGTTCATCTGCAACATTGGGGCATCCATCCCAGCCTACAGGCCTAGGGTATCTGGCAGACTCTTCTGTGAAACAGGAATCCCAAAGAACTGTCTTGCCTTATTTTAGCAAAGTTCTACAGTCTTTTTCCTGTGTCCTTGCCACATTGAAAGCAAACTCCATATGGAGTTTCTTCAATGCCCATCATCCTTTTATGAAGTAAACTGGTGCTTCCAGGAGCAGATGTGCCTCACTGTCATGTAAAACCCCAAGTTAACAAAACATCTTGAATGCCATATCTGTAGATCCTTGAAGTGTATGAAAATCATTTATCTCTCTAATATATATCTGTTTAACCTTGAAACATAACGAATCTGACTATAAGTTTGATTATTATAGATTAACTACTAACCTCATTGTTGTGGTATATTTTGTGTTCTGACAAATAAAATTTACTTGGAGTCAGAGGGTAGAGCTAGCACCAGTTAACCATAGAGGCCTGGAGGTCGGTACAGACAGGAAACAGGAAGTGATAAGGCAGGGTGGAGAGAGGATCCAAGCCCTTTTGGATGAAGGCACTGAGGAGGTAGGAAGCAACTGGTGTCTGTTCCCGGTTCTCTGATCTTTCAGGTTCTTACGCCAATATTTGACTCCCAATTTTTTAGTGATAAAGATCAATTAGATTTACACTTCACCTAATTTCTTAACTCTACATTGAATTTTTAAATGAAGTGCATGAGTAAAATGCCCCAAACAAGAGGAGAAACATCCATACTGTGTAACAAAAATAACTTTAAATTTGTATCAACATACCAAAATCCATGCCAATGTAAAATATCTGAGATTGATAGTTGTTTTTGTTACCCTATATCCCTATATCCCCCTCCAACATTCATAACTCACCAAACAACCAAAGACCACCTACACCATCTCTTGGGAATGTGGGCAACATGTGCTCCAGATGGCTTCCTGTTGTCTGTGAGCAAAGGCATCTTTAGAGTCCCTGAGAAAATTTGAGATATTGGCCAAGTCCTGGGGAGACCAGCTGTAATCTTTGTTGATGGAGTATCACCTGCCAAAATCCAGGAGGTCGCCCCTGATCAAACCTGATCCATAGTAACCAGGAAGAAACCCACAGCCTCTTGTCTCCTGTGGGAACAAAAACAAAGCCTCTTCTCCAAAGCAATGCATCTTTTAAGTTCCATTTTACAATTTTGAATTCTATTTTAAAGTTAAGGCATTCCTAAAGTATTTAGGCTGGTTTATTTCAATAGTCCCTCTTTCAATTCCAGGTCTCTCAGCTTATCAGCAATCAAAAAAAAGTAAAATCAATATAGCAGCAAACAGAATCCAGACTCCCTGCATACCTGTTTCCCATCTTATGTGTTTCTTCTCTTATTTTACTTTTGTTCTTTTTAAAGACTTTGTTGTCTGAGTTTCTGTCCTGCCCAGTTCCCACGATTGTTAAGTCCCAAAGAAATCACACAAAGGTCTACATTAGTTATAAACTCATTGGCCTAGTATCTCAGGCTTCTTATTAACTCTTACAACATTATTCTTGTCTATGTTAGCCACGTGGCTCGGTACCTTATTCAGCGAGGCAGTCACATCTTGCTTCTTCTATGGCTGGGACAGGACAGCATACCAAGATTTCC